TTGACTACTAAAATGTGGGCGATTAGTCCAAGTAATTTATGACAAATATTTGGTATATTATTTTAGTATCTCAGTTCTTTTAATGATGTGCCTTGATATGAGATCTCTGTAGGTGAATTTAGATTTAAGTAGAGTCGCTTTTGAAAAAAAAAAAAAAAAAAAAAGATTTAAGTAGAGTCACTGCCACCTATCATCTGCCAAGGTCAAGGATGTGAGGTCTATGTATGACAACAACTCAGAAATTAACATTAAAGTTCATCTTTGCCGCACATAAATTTCTACGACCACCTGGAATAGGTGTAGTGGTAAGAAAATCTGTATGTTCTTTATAAGCTTCACTTTTCTCCAAAAAGTTTAAAAAAAAAAAATTGAAAAGCAGGGGACCATGTGTGTGTGCGGACGTGTGTCTGTGACTTGTGTGTGTGCGCGCGCGTGCTATTGCGTGCATGTGTTGTAGGGAAAAGCCTATCTGAGTCTATGTTGCCATCCTTTGCCAATTGAGTCCCTAACTCTCCTATCCGCCTGATTGGTTACTTTTACCAATCATTATCATAGTGGTCTTTGCCCAATCCAAGTGTTTTAGGCTAGCAAATGTTTCTAGATTTCAATTTCAAGTTGATACAGAGTTGTAAAAATATTAATATCATGTAAATTAGCCTTATGAGTCATTCTCTAATAAGGACACTAAATGCCTCCAAAGAAATGGTCTGTCAACTCTAGAGCAGCACATGCGTCTTCGCATCAAAGCACAATTCACAAATGTTTGTGCGGGCGGGTCCATTTCTTAGTTCTTTAAATTATTTTCTGCAAAGGAATTTCTTCTTGTGGCAGCATTGTGCTTTCAGCACAAACATTTGTGAAGACAAATATTATAACATTTTTCAATTCTTTTAGGCTCAGTCAAAAGAGGGTGGTAATGCTCAGGATTCTTCATGTAACCACTCACATATTGGGGATGGTTCAGCAAGACAAAATGATGGAAATGGTGGCACTGGATCATGTTTTGAAGCTGGACATATAACTAGGTTTGCTTTCATTGACTCCTTTGATTCAAAATGGTAATTATCAAGCACTTCATATTTCTGTGCTTGTACTTGACCCACTTCTATTTTTAGAAGCCCTCACTGAGATTCTTCAAATTACAATAGTCTGAGTTGTGATATGTTAATTTTTTTACATGATCTGGCGTACATAAACATCATATCTACAATGAAAGTAGTAAAGAAAATTGAAGGATGAGGATCCTTACTGAAGGCTCTAATACGTCCGAACATACTATGTCCAAAATAAATCTAGAGGGGGTGAACTATTCTACAATTTTAACTAATAATAACTGGCTTTTGAATTCTAGCAATTATTGTTCAAATGCAGCAATTAAATTATTTAAACCATAGAGTGTTGGAAAAAAATCCAAGCAATCACGCACATAAACACACAGATTTTTATGTTTTTCCTCGACAGGAATCACTAAACATAGTCAAGACAAATCGAATCCACTATCAGAAGAAAGGTAATACGTCCGAACATACTATGAAAGTAGTAAAGAAAATTGAAGGATGAGGATCCTTACTGAAGGCTCTAATACGTCCGAACATACTATGTCCAAAATAGATCTAGAGGGGGTGAACTATTCTACAATTTTAACTAATAATAACTGGCTTTTGAATTCTAGCAATTATTGTTCAAATGCAGCAATTAAATTATTTAAACCATAGAGTGTTGGAAAAAAATCCAAGCAATCACGCACATAAACACACAGATTTTTATGTTTTTCCTCGACAGGAATCACTAAACATAGTCAAGACAAATCGAATCCACTATCAGAAGAAAGGTAATACGTCCGAACATACTATGAAAGTAGTAAAGAAAATTGAAGGATGAGGATCCTTACTGAAGGCTCTAATACGTCCGAACATACTATGTCCAAAATAGATCTAGAGGGGGTGAACTATTCTACAATTTTAACTAATAATAACTGGCTTTTGAATTCTAGCAATTATTGTTCAAATGCAACAATTAAATTATTTAAACCATAGAGTGTTGGAAAAAAATCCAAGCAATCACGCACATAAACACACAGATTTTTATGTTTTTCCTTGACAGGAATCACTAAACATAGTCAAGACAAATCGAATCCACTATCAGAAGAAAGGTAATACGACCCTATGTTACCATATTCTAATCCCAATAAAGGCTCCAGAAGTTGATGATCAACACATTGAATAGTAACTCACCATCTAATGCAAGATGTTAGATAATGAAAAGTAAAATATGCACTCTATGTCCCTATATGCTCTCTATTAAAGTCTCTTTAAAACAACCATCAGACCTTTTCCCAATTACTTGGGGTCAGCTACATGAATCCTATGTTTCCGTCTAAATTTTTTTTGACCGTTTCTCTCTTGCAGGTCCTGGACAATATTTAGGACACTTTTGTATCCCAGTATACAAGGGTGTTTAGGGTTTGGAGTTGGATACGAGAGAACACTGCAAACTGAAAGAGAGTGAGAGAGAGAGTTAGGGTTTGGGAGCTAAAACTTATAATCTCCTAATTTTCACATAGTGAAATCTTTCGCTGGATTGTCCCATGGATGTAGGCTTATGCCGAACCACGTAAATTTTTGTGTTCTTTGTGTGTGGCGTGTTTGCTTTTCTGCTTGATTCTTGATTTGTTCTTGGTTCAAGGCATTTGATGTAACAGAACATACGGCATTAGAAACCGTTATTGTGAGTCTCATGATTTTGATTTCCACTGATCCAATACGGAGAACTATGGTCAGAATATGCTCTAGAGTGATGGATCAAACTTGATTTGAAGTAATTTTCCAGTTCCACTTAAATTGGATCTCTTGCAGCATTGCAGCCTACCTTTTGTGAACTATTCTGTGCACTTCCCATTTCAATATTAAATTCATGCAAGTGCATAGCATATTTGTTTCTGCCTTTGCTCCTTCTAAAAAACGAGAAGCATATGGCACTAGAAATTGTCACGGTGACTAGAATCATTTCAATTTGCAGATGCACGTGTATGGTTTGGTCATGGATGCCTAGTCATTTACATTTGCATTGATTGCAGGCACACGTATGGTTGTCACACTTGCTGTTTTCCTAGGTTAATCAAATGGCATATGTATTTTGTTTTGGCACATACAGGCACCAAATTTTGGACCCCGGGGAATCCATTCTTATGATCTCAATGGTCAAGAAGATTCAGAAACTAACAAGCAAAAAAGGTTCAGCTTATTCTAACCAAAAGATTTACGTGAACCCCACAAAAATTGGTGGTTAAAGGGAATATAATCTGGTCCGACTACCCTAATGTCCTAAGCATCCAAGTTATGGGCCCTTCACATTTCAAGATTTGCACGGTAAGTTCTGTTCTCTGTCTTCTCCCGAGGAAGATATCTACTCTTGGTCAGTTTAGTCCCCAGTTGTTGCAGTCATCAATCATAGCGGTTAACAGTAGTTGATGACTGTTTATAAAATGTCAGAAATGTAGGGATGATTCGATCATAGAAATGTAGATCGCCATGATATCCCATAATGTGACTTCTTTTTAGGCTTGCTCTGGATAAATGTCCTGAATAGTCCTGTGCAATTACTGGAAAAAAATAAAAGGAAATGTCGCTGGGCATTCACTGCATTTATTTTTCTCTCTGGTTGAAATTTATATATTTATTCCATTTTTTGTTAATGGTACAGCCAAAGAGAGTTTTGGCCTTCGAGGATGCAAAGCAAAGAGCATTGCAATGGAAAAAGGCGATTGCAGATCTGCAGAACCTGTGAATTATGTTCTTCGTTTTGACATCAAATTCTTTGGTTGTAACGATATTGTAGAGTGTTGGAAGACATAACAATAAATAAACACAGCAAAATAACTCTTCTCCCTATATGCAAGCAAATATAGTGAATCTCTATTTTTATATGTGCTGAAAATAATAGAAAAAAAAATCAATCACACCAAGCCACAAGAACACAAGCAATTTTTACGTGGAAAACTTCCCCAGTGTGAGGAAGAAAAATCACGAGACCTAGTCCAGTTAAAATCTCCACTATCAACCAAATAATGGGTACACAAAGTCTTCTCTAATCGCAATTAGAGCCTACAATACATCTCATCAAGATATCAACAATCTTGGCAAAAACAAAGAGAATTGGAGAGAAAAATACCAAAATCCGGTTACTGTTCACGGGCATGAATCACTGTTCCCGAGCTCAAAATCTGATCTCCACCGTTCAGATTTTAGCTCATTGAGTCATGAACCTCTCCTCCAAATTTCAGCTCGATCGGATGACAGACGAAATGGGAATAGATGTTTGATGAAATCTGGGCAGAATAGAAAAAGGGAAAATTACATATAAATGGAGTTAAAGTTCCATATTTACTTAGAGGCTGAGTCAAAGTTTCATATTTCTCTAAAATGGATTGCTGAGGTGGCACATGGTTTTTTGCTGTTTAGAAATTGTGGTGCCTAAAATACCCTTCCGCGAAGGTACTACTTTTTCTTCGAAGGTACTACTTTTTTGAACTGAAGGTACTACTTTTTGGTGTCCAGGTACCATGTTTTTTAAACACCCGCGAAGGTACTACTTTTTCTTCGAAGGTACTACTTTTTTGAACTGAAGGTACTACTTTTTTGAACTGAAGGTACTACTTTTTTGTTAGGGAAGGGCATTTTAGGCACCACAATTTTCTAAACAGTAAAAAACCATGTGCCACCTCAGCAATCCATTTTAGAGAAATATGGAACTTTGACTCAGTCTCTAAGTAAATATGAAACTTTAACTCCATTTATATGTAATTTTCCCATAGAAAAAACCTCCGTTTTTCTTTTTTCTCTTGTGAAAAAAACGCTTATCTGGGCTTTGGACTTTAATAAAACCCTTTTTATTCTGACTTCCTTAGGGTTATTTACCCTAAAGAGCTGGGCTTTGGGCTTTAATAAAACCCACTTGGGCTTTCCTCCATATAGAAGAAAATAAACCCAACATAGAGGAACATGGGGATCCCGAAACAGATGGATGCTCCCCGGATTTTTTTCTTTTATAACAAGAAAGTGATTGAAGTTGCAGAACGAGCAGTTTCAGAGTTGCAAGCCTTCATCCTCCGAATTCCTTTCCCTCGTGGCAAAGAACTAATTTATGATTAGGGTTCTGTAATAAGAATAGTAGAATGAGAATTCCGAGTTGTAGGCTTCGTGGAGAGTTGGTATCATGACTGGTTTTCTGTGACATGGAAAATATACAAGCAACGTGAAAATTAAACATTCCATTTTTATTCTTTTCCTCCATTTGTGTCTTTTGAGTTGTGGTGATGTGTACTCTTTAGCCCTGCCTTTATGTAAAAAGTTGAGGTTGATTCAAAATGGAAAATGCAGTATAAGCACACTTTTTGACTTTGTGAACTTTTTTAACAAGAAACTATTCTAACTATTTGATGAATTTATATTGATTTTATTTTCCTTTGAAATGCAGCTACCTTTCTTTTTAATATGTGGGAAAACCAATCAGAGAAAATAATTGTAAGATGGATACTTCGACTGTGCTTGATATTTTAATGGTTAGGTGATGGTAAACTGTATTGTTGAATGTACAAATGAGTGCATGTTATGGATTCAAAAGTGTGTGCGTGTGTGTGTGTGTGTGGGAGAGAGAGAGAGAGAGAGGATGAATTTGTGAGTAAGCATTGATGAAAACACAAGTCCTTTCTCTGGGATATACAATTATCGTAATTGACTCAGAAGCATTCAATTGATAATATTATTCAAATATCATGTCTATTCTTTCTACCTTTAATTCAGGGATTGTGCACCTAATGGATGTATTTGTACCATTCAAGAGAGTCTTCACACCTAACTAACAGTAATCTTTGATTAGGTTTTTTTTTAATCCATTGACTATCACTTTATGATGTAAACAATCCCATATAAAGTCCTTAACACCATGTGAAAATCAGCATTCTCTATTATATATTCTGAGCACAAAAGCCAACATGCTGTATTGAATAATGAAAGGTCATGTGAAAATCAATATGATAATGAACCCTACCACTTTACATGTACTTATTATGCTCATTATGACAATGAACCATAACACTTTACATGTATTTATGCTCAATATGATAATGAACCCCAACACTTTACATGTATTTATGCTGTAAACAATCCCATTGTTACATGTGCAAATCAAAATTCTTTATTCTATATTCTGAACACAACATTTGAACATGATTAAGTATTGGATGATGAAAATCATGTGAAAATCAATATACTATGTTTGATCTCCTTGCTTGTGTTTCCTGCTTTAGCTATTCCACTGAGAAGATGGAAGTCTTTGGATTCGATAAAAGAGCTGAATCTCAAAGGGCCATACCTTGGTCTATTCACAGTCTATGCCCCTGAAGAGGAAGCCTTCTTCGCGACTGGCGCGTTTAAGCCTGATCCAAGACATCCATTTGTGGATCTCTCAGGTTGAGAAGAGACTCTCACATTGGACTTATATTTTGAATTCATGCTTATATAGTTATATTGTACTTAAGTTGTTGGTTATTTTTAGTTTGTTCAAAAAGACAGTTGGATTTTTCAGGAAGGCGATTCCGGGTGGGAAAGGTTGATGGGAAGAAAGTCATTTATGTGAGATGTGGAGTTGGAATGGTACACTAATCTTCTTCTTCTTCATTTTTATTTTATTTTATTATTATTTTTTTTAATCCTTGCAAATAACACACGCGCCCATTTGCCCCTACAAGGACTTAAATTTGAGTCGTGGTTTCATTCAGGTGAATGCTGCTGCAGCAACACAACAGATGTTGGATCTGTTTGACATAATTGGAGTGATACATTTCAGAATCTCAGGCAATGCCAACAATTCCATGTCCGTTGGAGATGTCACCATTCCGAAACAATTTGCTCACACTGGCCTTTGGGATTGGCTGGTATGAAGTTAATTACCCCTTGTTTGAACTTCGGACTTCTTTTAGTCACTTTCCGAAAATGAAAACTAATGATCTGTCGAATTTAATTGTGGACAGATACCTAATGGAACAATGGGAACTACTGATGTTGCTCACTTGGACATTGGAAGCTACAACATGCCCAAAGGAGATGGAAGTAATTTTTTGGGACATATTGGCTATAGCACTGAGCAATTTTACTCCGAGTCCGGTACGCCTAACACAGCTCAAAGGTTGCTTTGGATACAGATAAGCGAGAACTGGCTTCGTTTAGCTTCCAGCTTGGAGGTTAGACATCCATATAACGGAATGCTGCATATTCAATTTTTTCGCCTTTTGTTTAACAAAGATGGAATAAGTGGGGTATTACAGATAGGCTTGCCATTGTTTTCATGGCTGAAAATTTCCAAGCTGACTTTGGTTAATGCGTTCGGCTTTTGGTAATTACAGGGAATGGAACTAGAACAATGCGTGAACTCAAGCCTGTGCCTTCCACAGAAGCCAAAGTTAGTAGTTGGACTTAAGGGCTCGAGTGCCAACATCTTTGTGGACAATGCAGCTTACAGGGACTTCCTTTTCCAAACGTTTCAGGTTTCGTCGCTTGATATGGAGAGTTCAGCTGTAGTAATGGTGAGTTTCTCTGCCTACTTGGCTGGCTAATCAGTGTCCTGCATTCCCTCTTTTACCTTTTAGTGTGTGTTGTTGGCAATAGGACAGTTCGAGTTTGTCACAACTGTTTCAGTCAGCCAAGGTTCAGGCTAGGTGGTAGATTAACACGCTAAGAGCATACACACACACACAGTTCAGGGTACAGTTCTAGGGTTAGCTATCTCAGGTTTATGATTAACCCCTAAGAGGACATTTCACTCCCTGTGACTATATGTTTGCATACATTTTGAAATCATGTAGTGTTGCATTTCCATCAGGCCTTATAAATACTGTTAGTGTGTTCTGCACTATTAATGCTGTACAAGAAAATCTAACTTAAATTCATGGCTTACAGACATGCTTGTCAAATGGCTTCCCGGTAATCGTTATTCGAGGATTATCAGACTTAGCACGGGGACAACCAGGGGAGAATTCAATTTATATCTTCGGATCTCTAGCAGCTCTCAATACTGCTAAAGCCGTTGTTCAGTTTGTCAAAACATTACCAGGACATGCTTCTCAATACTGATATAACAGTGTGGCTTCTCTATCGATCGGGTAGTTACAGAGCTGTTGGCTCTATAATTCGTATTCTTTTTTGTTATCTTCTTCATGAGAAGCTTTAATCTTCGATAAGTCCAATCTTCTGCTTTAGGTTGAAGAAAAACCTATAATGTCATCAATTTCTTTTTTCTTTCTTGGATGAGTAAATTGCATCAGTTGTGGTGCCCAGCTTTTATTTTCTGCTACAAATGATGAATTTTTACCTTCTGGTGTTGCATAAAACTAATTGGACGAATTTAAATTCCTGTGACATTCATGATATGCATTCAAAAATGTGTTTGTGTGTGTGTGAGAGAGAGAGAGAGAGTGTGTGAGTAACCATTGATGAAAGCACAAGTTCTATGAAAACACAAGTTCTTTCTCTGGGATATACATACAATTATCTTAATTGACTGAGAAGCATTCAATTGATAATATTATTCAACTATTTATCATGTCTATTCTACCTTCTTAGTCTGGAATGTGCACTTAATACTTAAAGAAAATATATATATATAATGGATGTATTTGCACCAGTCTTCACTCCTTGCTAACAGTAATTTATTTTTATTATTTATTTTTATTATTATTATTTTTATTTTTTTAATCCATTGACTATAACACTTTACATGTATTTATGATGTAAACAATCCCATATATGGTCCTTACACAATGTGAAATCTTTATAATATATTCTGTACACAGAAGACTAACAATCAATATGATAATGACTTACCAACAAAACACAATGAATATGCTGATGAAACTTTGACAATGATTTAGCATGGAGAGTATACACTAGTAGCCGGCAATGCTGACCAAAATTTTGTTCCAAGTATAGGAGTTTTCTCGAGCTCTCATCAACCAGCCGTGGCTGCAATACAGGTCACACCATGTTTATTGACACTTTTTTGATCTCCTTGCTCGTGTTTCCTGCTTCGGCTATTCCACTGAGAAGATGGAAGTCTTTGGCATATAGTCATCCTGATCTTCTTAGATGCATTTTGTGTGGTGATTTGAGCACGACTTTGAACGGGTTGTATTTTTGGGCACAGTGACTATGTTGTGTGTGAGTTTCATGCTTTGGTGTATGGGTTCTGGTGACTGTGGAGGTCAGATGTGCGAGTGAGGGTTTCGGTATGACCATAGGAGGTTGGTGCAAGTGACTTGGGTCATGGTTTGGTGTGGAGGTTTTTATCGAACCGGTCGTGGTAGGTGTGGCAGAGATTGTCTAAGTCACAAATGTAGTCTATGAGTTGTAGATGTGTATCTTTTGGTACGTTTTAAGGAAGCGTGTTGGTTCTGACTGTCGTAGGGACTTGTTGAACTCTGTAGGTCTATGGTGATTTAGGGCCGGTTGTGGGATATAGATCATTACATGATTTTGTAGGAGTTTATTCTAGAGGTTGGTTTGTCGAGGAGTGATTCTTATTTAGGATTGTTACGGGAGCGTGTTATGGGTAATCGAGGTGAGGTATAGTGGTCAGTTTTAGCTGTATAGTGCAGGGTTGCACGATAAGGCAGGTAGTGTGGGGCCATTGGAGTGCTTGGTTGTTTATGGATGAAGTAATAGCTGGTGAGTATTGTGTTATTAAATGAATTGTGTTCTAGAATTCAGAAGCTGTGGATTCGGGTTATATTTCAGATTGCGTCTGGCGTATCAAGAGATAGTGCTTGTTGTTTGAGGATTCGAAGAGATAAACTAATAATTGGAGTGATTGGGACGAGGTTGATTTTGTAGGTTAGTTGGTTGCCCCATTTGATTTTTGTCAGGGCTAAGAGTGTTCTAAGGAACAGTGAAGAAGGGAGGTAGTGACGTTGTGATACCCCTGGATTTTCGGATGCGAGTTGGCCAGGCCCACGCCCGACTACCCAAGGATATCAAACAAATTAGCAATAAATGAACACAGAATACAATTAAGATAACAAGAATAAATAAAATTTGCTGTAAAGAAACTAAAATGATAATCCAAAACTGAAAACCTCAGAATAAAATTTTATAAATAAAGTATTAATCTGATACATTCAACTTTTCCAATTCTAATACAACTCGGGAATCCATCTGGTGGACCCCTTGTAAAACCAACACTGAGAAACGAATCACCGGAAATGAATCCAATGCTACACCATGCAGGAACCACCTATGTCGTCGGTAGAGTGAGTAGTCGTCTCTGCTCGGCACGAACAAGCTCTAAGACCTGATACTGTCTGTTACCTGAAAAATAATAGTGGGTCAGGCCCACGAACAAGTTCTATCCTAACTACAATCCAAACAGAGACCCGATACGCAGATACATCCTAGATGTCTCAACCATATCTATATAGTCCGTAAATAGATATATACATATAACCACATTACATGACTCTCACTAGACTACGCTGAAGGTCTTAACCTGAATAGAAGGCAACATGCAAAAACGCACCTGAGTGGGCATGACTACCTAAGCTTAACAGGGTATACCTCAACCAACATAGCTAGTTATGCATCCTACTGCATATATGCTCCCTAACCGTTGACTATGAAACTCAAGCTCAGATCGCGGTACCATAATTATATATATAAAGTCCGATCTTATCCAACCATAAGAAATCTAGCTAGTCATTCAGCTTGTTCAGCCGTACAGACTAACATAAATTAAGTGTATATACATTTCATCCAAATACAATGTTGAGCCGGTCAACTATTCGTCGCCAAAACACAACATATAATTAGGATTTAAATGTTTTAATTAAATCTTTATCCTTCCTATTAACAGAAAATATAAACAACCATCCAATATGTCGTTCAACTGTTTTAGTTGACAAGACATGAAACCATGTAGGATTTAACTGTTTTAGTTAATCCATTCCGTATGTATGAATGGGTTGGAATTAGCGTTTTGATTTAATCCGTCCCTCCGTATGTCACCGTTCCATACCGGTACATACCATGCATATGATCCGTAAATGATGCATTAACTCAATCAGTACACCAAATACAATCCACATAAATCCATGTAGCTGATAAAACAAAATTGGAACAATTTATCAAATAAATATCCATGAAATTGACGAGACAAAACTTAATCGTTCGTCAACTTAAAATCCAGAATCCATTCATATAATTGACAGAAAATATGCAATTAATTCTTAATTAAGTTTAGGTTAACTCCCATGTAAATTACAAAACTTATGTTTTAGTTTAGCAATTTAAGTCCAAAACCACATCCAGTTGAAAACCATCATCCAATTAATTGCAGAATATTGTATCTAATAATTCAGCAATTTAAAACAAACCTTTTACTCATGTAATTGCAGGAAAATTAATATTTCAGCAATATAAAAATCTAGAGCATGCACAGGTCCAATCTGTTAAATAAAGGACTCTACTGTGCATCTAAAACAAAAATTAGAAACATGTTATAATTCATTAAATTGCCATATTAGAACAAACAAGTAATTTCCTATCCTTAATCTATGTAATTGCAGAACGGGTTTATTAATTCAGCAATTATATTCCCGAGTGTGCACAGATCAAATTTATTAAGTAAATGACCCTAACGTACATTTAAAACAAGATTAAAATCATGTTATAATTACTTAAGTCACCCATTTAAAAATTGAACAACTATTTCCCTTCCAACCGTTAACAGTATGTGAATTGTCTAAATTTCACACTGATCATTCCCTTCCTATAATAGGCTAACTTATGCAATTAAAGAGCTTAAGATCTCTTGAAATTACTTTTAAAATTGTTAGTTCACTCCCTGAAACAATTTAGAACTCCAAACATAGCCCAAACAGTTCCCGAACAGCTCCAGATTGCAACCAAACGTAACCTAACCAAAGAACCTTCTCTTGAAAATCATAGAACAGGCTCTTTACACCATGGAGCCTGCTCTATAAAAACTTAGAGCCTGCTCTTGAAACTTAGAGCCTGCTCTTGAAAGCTTAGAGCCTGCTATTAAAGGCTTAGAGCCTCCTCTGTCCAGTTTTGCTCCATTTCGCCTTTCAGATTCGTCTCCGGCTATTCCCAACCTTCGGTTCATCTTTAATACTGAGTTTAAGAATCCTATTTACACCCAAAATCATCCCCATGACTGGTTTTATAATCCGTTCAATCACGGAATTAAAACTACGCAATTTAACTTTCCTCCAACCGTTAACAGTACTGAAAAGTTGTCTACTTTCCTACTGTTTAACACTTAGCGTAAATGTATAAACTATACAATAAGAGGTTTAAATACATTTGAAGTTTAAATTAAGAACCCCAAGTGCCCTCACAACACAATTCGAAAGAATTAAAATCATCCAAACGGTGCCCAGAAAATCAGAAAACATTAAAATACATCAAAATAGGAGAAAGCCTGCTCTTGAAACTTGAGAGCAGGCTCTTATATGCATGGAGCCGGCTCCATACCATCTTGGAGCCGGTTCTTGAAGAGTGGGAGCCGGCTCTTGGCTTCCCAGAGCCGGCTCTCTCCCTCTCTGTGAGCCTCCAGTCGATTCCAGCCTTGTTTCTGACCTTCTACTTCGACTCCGACCACTTCCAATCCCTCTGTTCTTCCTTAAAAATGATCTTAGCAGTCTAATATATATCCAATAGCATCCCAATAATTTGTTTTGGCAGTTGAAATTTATTACCGTGACTTAAAACCCCTACCGATTCATTACGCGTTAACACAAAACTTGAACTTCAATTTGCAAGCATACTTACAGATTATATTAACACATATACAGATAATCAAAACTGATCTTAACCATCATATATATATTCAATAACATCCTAAACCCTTGTTTATAGCAGTATGAGTTAAATTAACCATTAAAATAGTGCAAATCTGTAAGCTTAAAACATACGACGAACACAAGTCAATCAAGAATTGTTTCAGACAAATATATACACATACAGATAATCAATTTGACATATAATACGCATGCCAGATCCGATTAATATTCAATTAAAATCCTAGAGACACCTAGGTATGCACAGAACACAGGCCAACG